ACAAGAAGCGGCTGCCTTGCTATGGAATGCTACCGTCTTCCCCCCAACACACCACACACTCATCACGACTGTATCGGGCCAGAAAGATGGCTTGTATACATTCACGAAGAGGGTGCGTTATGTTCGTGGAAAGACGCGGGCATAATCTCGAACAAAGATCGTGTCCGAGAATCGCCAAAATACGGGCGCGTTAAAAAAAAAAAAAAAAAAAAGGGCGTGGAACCAACGGGCCTAGTGGGGCACGGTTCCACTAGCAAAGGAGTAAGGTAAACCGTGTCCCACAAACACCTTTGGGACATCTGCGGGACATCGTCCGACCACTGATGCAGGAGAATCGGATGGCAGCAAAATTGCGAGGGATTTATATTCTGAAGTGGTGTTTTTTTTTTGTGTGTGTGTGTGCTTTTTCTTTCCAGTTCCCAAGATAGAGGCGGGAAAAGAAAATAGAAAGACTCATTTTAATTGGCAGCTCTTCAAAACATTAAAAAAAATCAAGTACTCGAAGGGCATAATTTTGACCCCCTTCTTTTTCCGGGTCAATTGTTAACCCCATCCAGTACTTCGATTCTCTCAAAATATACGAAATGCACGCTTCAGCATGGCAACCGTCAGAGGAGGGAGTCCCATCAGGCACACGAAGGGACTCCCTCGACGTGGTATGCGAGACTGCAACAGTCACGTACCACTCTGTCCTGATTAGGTATTGGCTGGGTGGGGAGCAGAGGGTGGAGACGGGAGGGTTAGTGGGACGGCTGCACTTTCAAAAGTCCGACTTCTTCCCATCTTGGGAAATGTACCGTCGCCATTTTTCTTTTTTTTTAAGTCTTTAAAATTACTTTTCTTCCTTTCCTTACAGTGCCGCACAGGTCCAAATAGGCCATGACTCGTGTGCTAGTGGAACCGTGCCCCTGTAGGCCCTTCTTTTTTTTTTCTTTTTTTTTTTCCAAACCGGGGCCGGGACTACTATGGGTGAGTGGTACGAGCATCTTCCCATAGTAATATTCCTTGGACAGGAGCAAGGCCCCACCAGCAAAGGTGATTGGATTTAACGGCTGAATCTGGACTTGTATATGGCCAGGTGCAGAAAATCGCTATTCATCTGCTTTTCCGTATATCTTTGCATGAAACACATCCAGATTCAGGCCCTTAATCCAATCCTCTTTGCTAGTGGCACATCGCTCACGGACTGAGTATCAACCAACACCTTCTACGTACACTGAATCTAATGATCATCATTTTTATTTATTTTTTTTAATCATCTTCTGTTTTCCGTGTTCAAGACCAGGTGCATGGCCATATCTCATTGCTTTCTTCCCATCTTCCCATAGTGCTACTCCTTGGCCAAGACCAGTTGACATATACATCCAGACTAAGATCGAAGCCAGATACACTATCTCAGAGTGACATACATACAGACTCGAGTTCGAATCCAGTCCAGATACACTATGAGAGTGACACACATAATAC